CATTGCAGCCGCTAAAGCAAAAATCAAGATGTTTGAGGGGCAGGAGCAATAAGGCAATCATTCCCTTTTCTATCTCTCCTAGCATCAGTATGACAAGTCTCTCACAGGGAAAATGACTCTGAATTGCTCAGACGCTGCTGGGTGAGAGGAGAGACAGTATGGCTGCACTTTAAGGGCAGACGAGTAGGTGGAATGGTTCAGAAGAAAAGCTTTTCTTTTTAGCTGATGCTGAGTCTTTTTTTTCTTCTTTTTTTTAATCTCAGTGACCAGAATTTAGAATGCTGTAACTTTACTGGAAACTATTTTATTCATTTTTTATAGGATACAGTCACTTATCATAAATAGAATTAAGAACTATACATATATTGATCATTTGTGATGGCCACTTCGGCCTCAGCTATGCATTATATTTGACGATTTTGAATCCTGAAACTCAGATCCAGACAGCCCAATGAAAGCTATGTAGTCCAAATCCTCTGTATACAGATGCAGAAACAGAGGTCAGGAGGGCAAAGAAATAAAGCTACACCCATGGCGAAGGTTACTGATGCTGCTGAGGTGACTGACACAAGTGTTTGGATCCTTCAAATGTGTTCTCAAACAGGCAAATGTACATCTGTAGTTTTATTGAAGGAGATTATTAATAAGCTAAGGATAAATGCTTATATATTTCAAAAGAATCCTTCTAACATGCCATAAATTTGTTACAAATCAATAGATAAAGCAAGGTCATTTGCCTTTAAACTTCCATTGTCTTCAAACTGTCCAAAATGTGGCTACATTTCTATAAAAATTCTTGTTAAAGTCATTTATTTTCCAAATAAGGACACACAATAATTAACCAAGATAGCTGATAGAAAATGAAATTGTCCTAGAGCACTGGAAAATATAGATGTTCTTAAAATACTATATGTGTTGGTATTTAACACTACTTCCTATGTCTCAAAAGTTAGCTATTGTATGCATGCTTCTTGACATGAAGCTTTGCATTTAAACTGTCCTTTATTAGTATAAAATTAAAATTTAAATTCCATTTTATATGTGTGAATAAAATCTTGTGTTTCTATTGACTGGCTATTTGCTAGTCTGTGTCAGCCAGAGAGAAAAGAGAATAAATCTTTATCACCTTCTCTTCACTAGGAAAGAATATCTGACACTCATTATTTAAATGAGCAGAAGTTTAATTCGGCTGAGAGTGTCAGTCCATGATTGACTAGCTGCAAGGCAGAACCAGGATGCCAGAGGGTCATGTGGAAGAAAAGATGCTCACATCACGGAAGCCAGGAAGTGGAGAGAGAGAGAAAGGGGGAGGAAGCAACAGAGTACTCCCTTCCAAATCATGCTCCAGAGATCCATCTCCAACCAGGTCCCGCCACCTAACAGAATATTTAGGTAATGAGCTAATCAGTGGATAGACCCACTGATGAATATAGCATTCCACAATCTAATCACATTTTTACACACATGAGGATTTGGGGGGAGATTTTAGATCTAAATCATAAGAAAATACTTCTACTTTTCCAACTTTGAACAGCAATGAGAACAAGATCCACCCACTAGGGAAGAAGACACACAGGCTAGAATAGGACTTTGGCGTGAAGCTGAATGCTGGGTCTGCCCCTGTCAGATCCAGTTCTCCGGGGAGAATGAAGGGCCCTATATGTAGTCCAGAGCTTACAGAGCATCTAGAGCTGGTGCAGGATCAGGCAGAAATCCGCATGCTGCTGGAACAGACTCAAGTGTTGGGCCCTGACTCATCGACAGCTTCCTGTGGGCCTGGGTCACACCCATACCCAGAGAGACTACTCAGGTTTCTGTGACTGTGAGATTCAGGTGTGACCCACCTTAGTGTCAGTGTGGATGGAGAAAGGGCTGTCTCAGTCACCAGTCCTCTAACCTCAGGCAGCACAGTATTCCCAGACTACTGCTTGAAGGTCGGGCCTCTACCCCTGGTCTGGCACCATGCAGAAACCTTAACTCCAGCAGGATTGACTTGAGTTCTGCTCAGCATCACCTCCAGCTGCAGTGCTATCCCAGGAGCAGCACTGACACAGCACAAGGTCCACATGGCTCTGAGACTCAGATGCACCCTGCTTCACATCACCTGCCTTCACCAGTACCACCCCTACTTTACACAGACAGCATGCTGGGGCCAAGGAGGAGGACAAGGTAGTAAGCATAGAACCCTGCCAAAAGTCTAGGCAGGAATAATGTTAGGCTGATGAAGCATAGCACTGGGGACATTTTAAGTCATGATTCTGATGTCAGTGCTGTTGATAAAACCTCTGGAACTAACGCTGGAACAGGTAAAGAAAAATGACCTCAGGCTCTCTCACTCCTGGGCAGCTGTAAAGTGAATGCTTGAACTATTTTGGAGTCTTAAGTGTACAGCAGCAGCATACAAATACTAGTAGGAGCTCTGGTCCTACCCAGTGTTTCGCTGGAGCAGGTGGGCTGTGGGTTCAAGGTGTGATACTACATTGTGGCTTCAGTGTTCATGGACATGGCATGGGGGCTTGGAGCTGGGACTTCCACAGTGGTTCTGCCCAGCACTGACAGAAAACAGATTCTGCACTGCTTGCTCATAAGCCAGTAACTGTGGGCAAGGCATCTGCGCCTGCCTTCCCAAGGCAGAGGCTGTGTGAATGGATTTCCCTTTCCAGGTACTCTCTACATTCATATTGCACAGTACACATGAATAAATGTTTAGAACAACATTGATTATTTTTTAACTCGCTGAGCCTTTCCTTTACCTTTTTTTTTTTTTAAACTTTTGTTAGTACATGTTTGTAGTACACAATGAACACATTTCACCATAGGGGATTGGTGCACATAACAGATTTCAGTTCTGGATGGCTCTCTAGTGCTGAAACAGTGACAACTCACCAACAGTGCATTCACAGCATACCTCCACTTAGAGCTTCATCATGAAATGAAGTAGTGGAAGTGATTACACGTTCACAGAAAATCATGTGTGGCTTAGAATTTTTGGAAAGGCAGCCTCAACCAAAGCCAGATTACAACTGGAAGATACAGCTAATTTTTCAAGCCTGGATGACTTCATACAACCAAGAAGAAACCAATGACCACAACCAAATGTCAAAATAAGATAACATAACGAATTAGAGTCATGCAGTAGAAATATGGATAGTTGTCATAAGGTGCCCTCTTTGCTCAGAAAAAGGAGAGCTTTCTCTAGGAGGGCACCCTCAAGGATGGGCCACTATATTATTGGGAAAAAATATAATGATTATATAGATTTTAAGTATTTTCAGTTATTGTAATGTCATCTCATGTTAAAATTATCAATTGAACCCTGCTATTCACTAGAGTGGATGGTTACTTTTGTACTATATCTCTAGGACATGATGTCCCTGAGAATTGCCAAAGTGATTCTCTCAAGCTTCAAAATAGAAAAGTCAAATGTGACTTGGATTCACATTGCTAATTTATGTAATATAATATTTGCTAACAATTACAAATTAGGAACTGATAAGTTCCTCCGGATAATTTAAGTGAGTTTGATCTTCAAAGGCAACTTTATGTCTGAATTCAGCATTCTTTGTTAAAAGATATTAATAGCTAGTAAGATATTTTTAAACCGCATACACACACTTTTCCACATACCTACTTTACTCCGTGATAAATGCGTGTAACAACATATCTTGTACTATTGCACACACAGGGAAAAATCAGAGAACAACTTCTAAGATTTGTCCCTGCAAGAACACAATGGAGAATGCTATCAAAAGTAAAACCACATCAATACTATTTCCTGATGGCTTTTAATGTTCAAATCAAGCAATAATATATTTATGTGTATGCATTCTTATCAAAGAAAAGAAAAATTTCTACCAAATCCTATCTCTTAACCAGTATGCCAAGGGATCCATGACACACTGCACACCAGGAAAAAAAAGTCAAAAGCAGATCAGTACATTAAATATGCACTAAAAATGCATGAATAAGTCCAGCTTATACCCTGACATCACCCTGATTATTTCTCCCTAATCTTTCTTTCTTATGCTAAATAAATTGGATATTAGTGGAGATTTAGTGCATGTTCATCTTTTCAAAAGCGTGCCTTTTAATTATAACAGAATGAATTCTGCAGATGGTATTTCTGATGACTAAACATTAAATTAATTGTAAACCAATGCTATCATATTAGCTAAACCTAAAATGTTAAATATTGATAAATATGTCATATTAGAAAATGCAATCAGTATGAACCCACTTGTATATCATTGCTACTTTAAGTAGATATTTCTAGACAGTATTGAAATTTCAGTCTTGGCTTTACAATTAATAGTAAAATGAAAATTACTTCAAAGTAATTATATATGTACTATGCACTTATTTAATCAATAACTTGGGACCATTTTACACACACATTTTTTTCCTCCTTTTTTCATGGTGGTTTGAAGATAAAATCTTTCTATAAGGAGCTAGGGTCATCAGCTACATATCAATGTTTTTGCTAAGGATAGACAGCATATAAAATAACAGTAGTGTAATAACATTATACTACCTAGTGACCTTATAGGTATCTTTGCTTATATAACTACTGTCAGGGATGTTTTCATAGTGAGGACATTGCTCAAGGGTGTGTTTATCAGAACATGTCACTTATCCTTAAACAACGCATGACTGTACACATTTACACTAGATAAACATGACGCTGATTAATTTTTTGAACTTATAACATTTGAGGACATTTAGAAGTCATTATCTATCTGTAGTATATCGTTTCAAAGCACTGACATTCACAAGAAGCAACTGAAGATTATTTAAGTTGGTCATCTATTTCAAACATTGCTTTTGGTTGCTTTAAAAATGGATTTCAATATATGTTATCAAATTATCATCCCATAATGACATTTCTGAAATTATAAATCTAAGAGAAAGTTATATAAAATAACATATTCATAGAGTGTACGCAGTTCTGTCTACCACAAAAGCTTAGACATGCTTAACTTTTTCAGACACCTCTTTCGTACCTGTTTGTGAGCGTGGTCATACGAATTAATGTGATTGTCAAATTCCTGATGCTTGTAGTACTGCTTGTCACAGAGTTCACAGTAAAAATTAGCCTTCAAGTCTTCCAGAGCTTTTGCAATGGTATTCTCTTTCTCAGCATAGTCCTGAAAAATAGATTGTGAAGGAAGGGTTCAATTAGCTTTCCCCAGAGCTTACTGTATTTTGACAGTTGTCAACTTCGGTATAATAATTAGAAACTCAATATAAAAAAGAGAAAAATAAAGCCAATGCCAGAAACCAAATTAGAACAAAAATTAAGAGTTAAGGCAAGAAAGTCAAAGATTCACAGGTAAAGCCAAAGTAAATGGACAGACAGGGGGCTGGGGATTTAGCTCAGCAGCAAAGCGCCTGCCTGGCGAGCGCAAGGTCATGAGTTTGGTTCCTGGTGCCAGAGAAAAACCAACACCAAAATAAATAAATAAATAAATAAATAAATAAATAAATAAATAAATAAACCAAAGTAAATGGACAGAACAGCAGAAATATGGAGAAGAAAAGCAAATTATAGAAATAGAAGCCTTTTGTTGATCAAGTTTCTATTCTATGTTAGCATAAAAAAGAAAATGGTGTATTTATGATGTTTCAACTATGCATTTCTGGCACTAGCTTAGTCAGTATAATTTTTCTATTTTGAACATCAAAACTGTATATTGCTTTAAGAATTCTGTATTGGTGTACATATATTCAATTTAGTATTTTATTTGTTTCTTTACATATTTATTGTTAATAAATACTTATTGTTCTCCCCAAGTCATATCACTTGAGTAATGTTTTTACCTTGGTCTATAGAAATTTACATTGAATTTTTTTTTTTTTTTTTTTGGTACTAGGTATTGAACTCAGGCCCTCCTGTTTGCCAGACAGGTGCTGTGCCATTGAGCTACATCTCTAGCCCTACAATGAAATTTATTTATTTATTTTGGGGCAGGGAGGGGCATCCTGGGAATCGAACTCATGACCTCAGGCTTGCCAGGCAAGAGCTTAGGCTGCTGAGCTACATCCCTGGCCCACTACATTGAAATTTAAAATATCATTTAATCTTTGAAAAATAAAGTACTTTTCTGCAAGTCATTTATCTACTTAAAGTGAAAATGACTGAAATGTATAGAAGATGCCTTCATAATACATTCAGTAAATAAAGTTGGCTATTCTACTATATCCCTGAGAAAATAAAGACTATGGTCCACTATCATTAGCTTTTGTTTAAAGGCCACACATTAGAAAAATATTTGGCTGTCGCCTTCCAATTTTCATATATTTAAAATACTAATTGGTGTTTTGTACCTGCTTAAACATTAATGTTGCCAGACAATTAATCAGTTAATCAATTTTAGGTGTTGAAACTTTGGTTGGTTCTTTCCCTGAAGGGCTGAAGTGAAAAAGATCTAAACTTCACTCTTCACCATAGACTACATTTCTAAGTTAAAAACCTTCTTATACATAATTGCTATAACACTAAAAATGACTATATATTTGTCTTCATGTGCTTCTATGAGACAATTTCTTAGGTATTGAGCACTGGAGATAAAATAATGCTATCTTTGTGGTGATGACAATTGTCTTCTCTAAACATAGGTTGGAAAATCCTCATAATCTGCTTCCATTGTTTCAGTGAAATCTAAAATTAGTAACTATTGACTTAATGAATAGCTAATACTTTCCTTATTTTATTGTATTGTTGTACAATTTATTTGACATAGAACACATATATTCCCCCACGACATAAGTACATAACCATTTGTCATAATCGATGAATATATAGGGTATTTTCTCATTTAACTGAAAGATAGTAGTAATCCATTGCCAGGGTTTATTAGTTATATCAACTTCACCGGAAGAAGCATTGAATTGTAAAATAATTTAAATTGCTTCTGTAAGATTTCACTGATTTCAATAATTAGCTTACCATTTCTTAGCAGATTTGTGCACTAGTTCCAATTATTCTACTTGATTACTTCCAATATGATTTTAAAAGTCAGTTTAAATAGATGACTATGATTCATATAGATCTAAACTGCTTACTGAATTTTTATTCAGTCATTATGATAATGGCATCTGTGCTAGCCAATTTAAATGAAACAAAAATTGCTTAATATGATTTCACAGCTACAATGTGGGAAGCAGAGATAGTCTTCCCGTAAAACAGAAGTTGTGTTATAATAGCAGTAGTTTCTGTTCAAAGATGAAGTTACTCTCAGAGCAATGTTTAACTAACAGAAATTTCTGCACAAATTTGCCTACTCTTCTCATTAATTATAATTATAGAAAAGTTTACTTCCTTTCTCTAAATATCCAATTATTTCTCATTATGCTTTAAATTTTTTCTTTCTAATGTTGGTATTCTGCGACAGAAGCAATAATTGTTTTCCACATAGTCTGTGTATAAATCGAGAATAATTTTGTGTGGAAAACACTAATATTTAAGGCAGGTTGCTCTCTTCACAAATATTAGCCTTAGCTTTGATTTGAAGAGAAATAATTTAAAAATAATAGGAAAAGAGTAACATTTATTTAGTATTTATTTAGCCTCAGGCATTAAGAATGTGGACGTATTAACTTCTTTAATTCTAATTAAAATGATAGAAATATATGTTCAAAATCTTTCCTCATTTTATGGGAACAGAAGGAAAAAGTGGAAACAAAGCACTTGTCGATAAGGAATGAAAGAGAGGTTTAAGGGAGGGTAGGGGGATGGGAAGAAAAGAGAATCAAGCTGTATTATGAATAGGGATAGATTTCCTACAATGCATGTGATCATTATATATAACTAAAATGTACCTAAACTTAATTAATTAAAGAAAACCCTTTCTTCAATTTACATATAAGAATATTAAGGTGCAGAAATATTAAATAAACAGCTTCAGGTTATCACAAGTAAAGGTGCAACCCATATTGGAACTCAAATAATCTGGTGTATGCCATTTAGTTATTTTTAAACTATTAAGCTTTAGAGTGAGCACAATATCATAATCACAAAGTGCTCATCATTCTGTTAATTACACAAGGACAGTCTTTCTTCATCTTATCTCATCCAATCTTACATCTTTACCTCACCCCCAGAAAATTTTTAAGATGATTTTAAAATTTCTACAATTTTATATGTAAATTTTTGGGACATATCTTTACACTGGAAGGAATGAGAGAAACACATAATCACAAAACCAATATAAGGCCTAAATAACCAAATAAAAGCTAAAAGCCACATGGATCCTTTACTGTCAGCTAATATTGAGTCAGTGCATTCAAACAGCTCTAACTGTTTAATATATTTAAATTGGCTTTGTATAAAAGTGTTCAAAAAGCTCATATACTGCCATCATCCAATGTGTGTCTGGGTCTTATTCTTATTCTACAGGCTAATGTTTTTCAATTTACAAGTTTTATTTTTTCCCACATTAACTTATTTTTCAGATAACTGTTTCTTAAGACAACTCATATCTCAATTTTAGAAAGATCTATCTCACATTTAAAAAATGCCCAGTACTATAGGAAATTTACAAAAGTGTGACAAGAGCCTTGACTTGGGCTTTACTTAAATGAAACCGTGGTGGATATTGTGCCACATGTGTGCTCCAGTGACCTTCGTCCTACATGTATCCTACTCTGAGATGTTACAGGAAGCACCGGGTGGCCTTCCACAAGAGGACACTACCTGAAACACTTTGGACCAGATTTTTAATTTGATCTAAACTGCAGTAAGGAATTGGGGCTGCATTTGACAAAAACAGAATAGAATGACTTCACTCATATATTATTCTAGTCATATATATTATATATATTCATATATTAGATTATTTTATTCATGTAGCCTTATATTATGACATTATGGGTGCCATAGGGGAAAAAAGTCTTCTGTAATATTATTGATCATAAATGTAAAAATATGCAGACAACATCAGTCAGGTTGACATGTCCCATGGCTCTCCTCCTTCTAAATTATGAATGATATTGAAATAGATATTGACTGAGATCATAAAGCAGATTAATACATATTTGACACAGTCATCCCACTGCAGAGGGTGACAAATACATTTGAATAAATCAAAAAAGGAACATAGCTGCTCATATATATTCAACCCTAAAATAATTCTCCCTCTCTCTGAGAAAAACTTTCTATGTCCTACTATGAACACAACTTTTTCAGTGTCCACTTAATGTGATGGCACAAAGTGAAGAAGAAAGTTTCTTGCTGTTGGTCGGGTCATCGAAACCCAGTTATTTTACATGTACCTAAGCACAGTAAAAGTTGAATCCTCGTAGTCAGGAAGTCAATATCCACCTAACTCTAAAGTCATAAAGTCAAAATTCCTTCTGCTTGCAACCTTGAAAACAAGGAAATACAGTAAGTTTTGCAGGTCAGCTGATAAAAACAGAGATATTAGTGGTCTCTCTGCGGCCACAAGGCCAGTCCATCCACACTATGGAAAATATAAATAGTGTTAAAATGAAGCCTTTAAGAGAGGAAACTTTCATTTCCAAAATAATGCATCTCATGGTAGCTTCAGGATACCAAATGGCACTGAATAGTATTCAGCCTCTCTTTTCTTCAAGCTCTCTGAAAGGGTATTTATAATAGAAATTTCTGCAGCTTTCCCAGGTGAATTTCTGTTAGTGCAGTGGAGATTCCATTCTGTCCCTGCTGTGCCTCTAGATCTTTTGACAGAGACGGCAGTAACAAAACATCAACAAGTGGTAAAGAAACCCTTTAGGCTTGCAAGTTAAAAGTAAGATGATCTCAGCAAGATGGTATAATAGAACTATCCAATGTTCTTCCCCACAAAGCGTCAATCTGAACAAATCTCCATACTTAAAAGCACCCTCACAAGTGCACAGGAAACCAGGTAAAAGGTTATAGAACACGGCTATAGCACAGAAATGAGAAAACCTGTATAGACAAGTGTAAAAAGTACACTTCCCCATTATTTGGACCACTTCTCCATAAACCCCATATAACAAAGCATGGAGAAAAATATCTTTTTTCGGAAGATGTGAGCATTGAATGCACCCTCAGAGCTCAATACCAGCCCAGCTTCCCCAAGTAAAACCAAGCACTAATAAGCTCCTTGCCCCCAGGGCACTGCGCAGGAACAGAGCTTCCAGGACC